AGAAGGAATAAGACACAAAAAGATACCCCACTCCCATGTAAAAAATAGTCCACAGAGAAAAAAACAAGGATTGTATAAGTTATTTTTTAAAAATCTGTAAAACAACATAGCCAAGGATATTTTAAACACAATTATATAAACACCACATGACTTACTATTAAGAGAGAGCATGAAAAGGTTTGATTCAGGGAAGGGTTTTGTAGAATTAAGTGTCCTGGCTGGATCCCTGGAATGTCTCATTTGGGAAATAGATGCTGAAGAAAAATCACTGCTGTGAACAGGAGGATTTTGAGAGAGAGAGGGGTATACCCAACGAAACAGGGCAAGGATCATAACACAAAATGCCAGAAGAGATTAACTGGGACAGCATCAAGGTCTAGCTCATTCCAGAACTGAATTAATCAGCAACTTACTACAGTTCCAGGAGGGAAATACATTTCATGGTAAGGCTGGTCCGTGCGGACAAACCCCCCCCAAATCCCTAAGGCTCCCTGTAGGCACATGGGTTTTGCCTGCCTGCAGTTACTGACACACCTGCAGAGCCATGTGGATCAGCCCTCACTTTGGTCCTCAAACCTCCAGTTATTGCCACGGCCAGAGAGAAACAGCGACTGACCGAATCCGAACAGGAGTGCCGGAGGGGGCAGCGGGCACCGCTCCGGGACCACCTGATTCATCGTTTGACCTATGTACAGAGCACGGCGCAGGCGTTGGCAATGCAGGTGTATATCAGCCATCACCTAACAGAAAAGGGTACCAAAAATTGAGCCAGAAACAGCTCTTTCTTCGCAGATGTGTGAAGTCCTGCGTCCCTTGCCACGAGGGCTCCCTCCCGCCGCGGTGGATCAGTAGGATTCCTGCGAAGAACCAAGCGTGTGTACGTGGATCATGCATTGGTCCCTGCTCACGAGGAGTGTTTGAGAGTATTAATATCACCTCTTGTCTGCTGCTCCCAGGACTTGATCACTCAGGGTACGATCCGATCTCAGCTTAACATATTGCTATAGAAACGCGCTGACAGTGATATTAAAGCTATCAAACTCACGAGCGAATGCTTGACAGCACCATGTAAACTCTCCCAAAGCTGAAAAAATAAACTTTTGTCCTAAACATTTGGCAAAACTGGGCTGGCAGTCGGTGGAAGTCCTGGATGGATGCAGCCGCTGAACTTTACCCGGCCATAAGACACGTCTGACAGCAGAACTGCACAAACAGCTTCTTTTCACAGAGCTTGTTTGATTTCACCATCTCACAGAAAGTCTTGTCAGCTGGGAGGCCGAGGCGAGGAACAAGGGAAAATGAGAGCAGATTAACATTTGAAATAAACAAACATTGCACGTAACAGGCGGTGCAATTCCTTCCAGAGTCGGGGGAGAGAGAAGTGAAAAGGAGTCGCTTCTTAAGGGCATCTTTCACATGGTTTTAATGAAGGAATAAAGGAGCTTTGCAGTGAGTGGGAGAATTAGCCCCAAGACTAAACTACAACGAAATACAGATGCTTGGAAATGTTTGAGCAACAGGCAGATATCCAGAAGCAATGCCAGGTGAGCCACCTGCCCCCCACAGCTGGAGCCAAGCCTGCTGCAGCCATGCCCCAGCAAGCCCAGAAGCTCCAGCACTTTTGGCTTTACATGGTGAAGGGAATCCCCCAGACCTCTCATTTTTGCTCCTGGGATAGCACTATGGTGCCAGCAGTTCTGCCACTTACCGTTGGTACAGGTCTCATTTCTTACACAGGAGCCACCGAGGAGGCTGAAACCTTCTTTACACTTGAGGCAGTTTCCACTGGAGCCCTCGCAGGCTGAGCAGTGGTCATCACACCTGGGGGACAGAGACACTGCTGTGGTCTGAACCAGCACCAACACACTGATCTGGCCACCCAAACTGGGCTGTCAGCCAGAAAACGTGTCTGCTGGCACATTTGACATACAGACTGAACTAGATGTGGAAAGCAATGAATACAAAGCTTAAAAAGCTACTCAAGCCCTGGGAAAACGGGGTCAGTGGTGCCAGCTTGATGCCCAGAGACAGCTAATGACGTCCCAAAAGCTCCTGCCTGCTGGGATGGCTCAGCAGGACATGCACCTCTCCTCCCAGCAATCCCAGTTACAAAAAGGGCTGCAAGGGGAACCTGTGCTGTTCCCATCCATTTGTTCAGGGAAAAGCCCCCAGCAGCTGTGCCTCCTGCCTGAGGACACTGGCTTCAGGAGACTGTACCTGAAATCCCTGGGCAGGGATGCTGGTCCCTTGTTTCTCCCTGCTGGAGAGCCAGCTTGGGTGTGAGTGCAACCCCAGGCAGGCAGGGACTGTGTTGTGTGTTCCCAAGTCACCTTTAATCCTTCTGTGTTTGCTTTCATGAGGCTGAATCCACTCCCACTCCCCACTTAAAGCACAGAGTGCTGGAGAGTGGGAGCAAATTGTTGCCTCTGGCATCTCCCTGTCTCCCACACGCAGCCCCCATGCTGGTCCAAGGATCAGGGAACACTCCTCCAATATGGCCATGGGGCAAACAGAGGAGGTTTAATTCAAAGCTACAATATTTACCTAAACATTACCGTTCCTCCCACACCTCCTCCAGAGAGCCTGGGGCTGGGGCTGAGCCCCTTCCACCGTAGCCCTAAGACACCTTGGCTGGCTCCAGTGGGAAAGTGTGCAGCTTTGCTACTCTTAAATCCACAGGGCATGGGTGTGTGGGGTCCAGCCCCACGGCTGCTCTGGCTCCCTCAGCCCTCTTTTAATTTCCATAGTGAACAGCTCCAGCTGTGAGCTGCTTGCAGCATTATTTTATCATCGTTGCCAGTGCTCCCCATTGGTCCCAGCTTTTCTCCAGTCACCATCAGGGTGGTACCATACCTCTTGCAGACTTTGTTGGGCAGCCCATGGCTGTCAGCAGGGTAGAAACCCTCACGGCAGGCAGGGACGCAGCGCCAGTGTGGTGCAGGGCCCTCAGGGGTGCAGGGTGCACAGTCCTCCTCACCTGGCCCTGTGGGGCAGGGGAGAGGGCAAAATGGCATGTGGGTGATTTTGGAGACAGTGCAAGTGTGGCCACAGTCCCATGGGAGATCATAGAAACATGCAATTTTAGGGGTCGGAATAGCCCTTAAGAGATCATCCAGTCCCAACCCCTGCCCTGGGCAGGGACACCTCCCACCAGAGCAGGTTGCTCAAGGCTTTAGCCAACCTGGAATGAAACACTGCCAGGGCTGGGGCAGCCACAGCCTCCCTGGGCAACCTGTGCCAGCGTCTCACCACCCTCACAGGGAAAAACTTCTTCCTAATATCTAATCTAATTTTCCTTCTTTCAATTTGAACCTATTAGCCCTTGTCCTGTCATTGCAGTTCCTAACAAAGAGTCCCTCTCCAGCTCCCTTGTAGGTCCTTCAGCTCCTGGCAGGTTGCTCTGAGGTCTCCATGCAACCTTCTCTTCTCTAGATTGAACAGCCCCAACTTTCACAGCCTGTTCTTGTAGGGGAGATGCTTCAGCCCTTTTATCAGCTTCGTGGCCTCCTCTGGACTTGCTCCAACAGTTCTATATCCTTCTTACACTGAGGGCACCAGAACTGCATGCAGTATTCCAGGTGGCATCTCACAAGAGCATCACGAGAGATAGGAGGCACCAGCTTGGCTCTGCCTTGCTCATGAACCTGCATGTTGTGCTCCTGCACATCTGCTTGGCTCTCACCCCAAAAAACTCAGCTTCTATCCCAAAAAACTCAGCCAGGACTCAATGTCCTGTCCCTCTGCAGAGCCAAGAGCCAGCCACAGGGGCTTGGTGGGGAACATCAAAATCCCCTCTGGGCCATCAGGAACCACTCCCAAGTGTGCATTGGTTTGTCTTTCCACCCTATGCAGAGTGGAAAAGGAGATGCTATATTTGGGCTGTGGAGGAGGGAAGGATTTGGGAAGGGAGGTGGGAAAGCAGTGGGCCCCACTCTGACACCAGCACGTTGTGGCTGGACAGCAAAGCTCAGTGATGGAGGTGATATCATTAGAGGCCTTCCACACACCAGGCTTGAGAAATGGTTATGCAGGAAAAGAAGACAAGAAAAGGCTGGAAAAATAATTGTGGTGGAGTACATTTACACTGACTGGAATAAGAATTAGAAGGGAAGTAATTTTCTTAAGGGATTAAGAGCCCATTCCCTTCCACACTTGCCAACAAGATCAATAAATATTTTGGACTTAGTCTAAGGAAATTGCCCATGTATGATAGAAGAGGCTCACGCCACTGAACATGAATTGTCTAGAGATCATATTATCATCAGATCTATGATGATTTCGAGGGCAGACGCAAACATTAACAATGGAAAATAATTGGACTTGCAAGAAGCTAAAAAGGCAGGATTTAAAGGGAATGCCAAGCAACTTCGGGCAGCGGGAGGAAGCCGGCAGCGGCCAGCCTAGCACTGTGGGATGGCCAGGATAACACGCCTCAGCTGCCTGACATTTTTATCCACTGCAAAGCCATCTTCCATCACTCCAAGAGGGTTTTACAGCCTCCCCTGCAACCTTATTAAACTAAAGCACCTGGCTTTGGAGAGACCGGGAAATAAAAAATGGCTCTAATAAAAATGTAAAAACTCCCTAAAAACCTTTCTGGTGTGAGCATATTGCTTGCATGATGTGCTGGAGAGTTGGGATTGCTCCCCCTCCAGCATGCTCTGCCTTGGTTCAGGGTGGGTATGGTGGGAATTGGCTCCTAATGCACAAGGGTTTGGGGGTTTTGCATGGGAATGCTGTCGGGGGAAGGACATACCTGTGCTGGCAGAGCAGGTCTCACACCGCCGGGGCTCCCGGCTGAGGTACATGGCAGGCTGGCACTCTGGCACACAGCTCTCACCTGCCAGGCTGTCAGGAAAACAGAGAGGATGCTTGCATCCAAAACTACAGGCACTGGGGACTCAACAGAGCCCATTCCCATCTCCACGTTCCCCAGTGCCCTGCAGCAGTCTCAGCCCACAGTGCGGGAGGTATCTGAAAACCATTGCTTCAGGAGAAATTAAAGTCCTGCCTGGACCAAAGGGACAGCTACAGGTTCCATAATTAAATATCCAGGAGGAAATAAAATTATTTTTTTCCCATGGGCAGCCAGCCAGGCTCTCCCAGAGACCTTTTGCACCACTGAGACTCCCCAGAATAAAAGGAAATTGATTCAGCGCCATGGCAGGGCTGGTGCTGTTGCACCGTGGCAGGGATGATTTGAAGTCCTGGCTTAAAAGGATATTGGACAATAAAAAACAAGCACTGTGCGGATTATGTCTGACAAGTGCCTCCACTTGTGCTTTTCCAAGGGAGTACATAATCTTTTGGCAGTGGGAATTTCTTTGTCTGAGCGAGCCCCACTGCTACACCGTGGCTCTGACTCACAGCACCTGAACACAAAGCTGCGAGAGGATCGTACTTCCACAAGCAACTGGGATGGAAAGCAGCTTCTCCTCGGTGTCAGTGCTGGGCTCTGTATCCCACAGCTGCTGTGGGGCCAGCAGCAAGGGCACCTGGTGCACCTTGCAGGGTCAGGACTACCCTGTCTGCACCAGCATTGCTGGAAAACCACTATCCTATACAAGCCCCACTCAACAGGTACATTGGATAAAATGAAGCTGAGGGAAGGGTTTCTGCACTTGCAGGGTGTATTTTCAGCCTGCCTGGAGCAGTTCAGCTTGATACCAGCCTTACACAGCACTTACCCACCACCCTGGCAAGATCTGCAGAAAAGGAAATTAAATTTAAATCATGGTTTTCAGCTAAGAAGGAGACACTAATCACCACCTTCAAATTCCCAAATCTGCAGCACTCTGCACCACGGCTGCAGTACCATGGAAGCAGGATCTTGGGTCTTTAACTAACTCACTCTTGAATTTCCCATTGGAAATCTGAAATTTAATCCACAGGTACCAATACTGCAGGTATAAACTCATCCCATGCTGGTGTTTTACCTGAATCCCTCTTTGCATGCAGTACATTTGTCTGCTTCGCCGACACATTTTTTACAGCTTTGATGACATTTCAGACAGCGTTTCTGACCTTTCAAAAAACAAAGCAAGGCATGGAGAATAAAATCCGGACAGTGATTTGCAAGCAGCAGTCAGAGCTGCAAAGCCCCACTGCACCCCAGCACCAGCTCCCCAGGGTGGAGAGGTACATCCACCCCAATGGATCTCTGCCATTGCAGGTGACCTTATCTGTCACCGCTTGCTTCTTTCAAAGAAGAAATATGCTTTGCAAGCAGCTAGGATCATTAATTACAGTCTTCTAATTAAGAGCTGAGTGGAGCACCTCTGCTCTGCACCCCCAGAGGTTTTCCTCCTCCCTTCACTGTGCAAAGCGTGTCAAGGGGGAATTTCAAAGCCAATACTCAAAACTCAAGGTGTGTTCTCCACCCATAGCACTTAAAATAGAAGCAATCCCTGCGTATCCTCATGCTACAACTTGCAAGTGATAAACATCCTTACGTTCCTCGGCGTAAAACCCGGGCGGACACAGCACCACGCAGGTGTTCATCTCCTGGTGGTGGTAGAGGTTCCTCTTGCACGCTGTGCACTGGGTGGGACCCCTTCCAACGCAGCGCTCGCAGCCCTTGTAGCACCGGCGGCACCTCCGGGCACCTTTGTCACCGAAAAACCCTGCGGGGCACGAGCTCACACACATCCTGGGGGAGGAATTGAGAGCACCCAGGCATTAGTGACAACAGCCAGGCACCTCCTGCCTCAGACACCTGCTACCATCCTCTTGCCCACAGCGTTTGGGGCATTCCCAGCCTTGTCAGCAATTTGGGCTCATTTACTTCTTAGTCTTGAGATTTAGAGTGCCTTGAAAGTCATGGCTCTGTAATACAGAGCCAGGGATTCTCTTGTTCCAGTTATGGGTCTTGTTCCAGCTATGGGTCAACTTTCCCAAGCTGACTTGGGAGAGTCAACTTGCAAGTTGAATTGACTTGCAAAGGACTTGAGTAGAAACCCCAGTTCCAGAAGAGACTTGGCACTTCAGCTAGCTGTCCCTTGGGTGTGAGTGAGCCCAGCTGGTGATGCCAGTGCTTCTTCCCCCGGATGATTACATGGTCAGGGTCCTCCAGGGCTCTCCAGTTCCCTGTCCCCCACCCCACTGTGCCCTAATTCAGGGCAGGAATCCCCACTGCTTCTTCTCTGTCCATTTTATCCCTCACATGCTTGCTTCTCTATGCAAACATCACCCACACTGTGGTACAAGCCCAAGGTGCTGCTTGCACAGCCCAAAGACCCCATGGGAACACCCCACCACCCCTCACCTGCCAGTTTTCATGTTGCCCAGGCTGTAGTGGATGCAGTTCAAGCACTGGTCGGCGTTGGGGCCATCGCAGCCCTGGTCACCACACTCAGGGTGACACGGACCTGGGGAAGGAGAGACCAGCTTAGTGCAGGTCAAAGCTGAGCATCCTCCAGTCTTACAGCCAGGATGCCCTGAGCACACCCTCCCTGGACTAACCAATGCTGGGAAAGGGCTGGAGACTTCTCACCTATCCTATCCTATATCTATTATCTTATAAATTTTATCCTATCTATCCTATGGAGCTGCACAGCTCTGGGTGCTCACCCCTCCTTCAACTCATCCTCCCTGGAATGAATCCCATTCAGACATCCCTTGGCTGACACCCTGATGCAGAAGCAGCTTTGAAAGAGGGGCTGGACCTGCTCCTTTGGGACC